CGTCTGCCCCACCGCCGGTACTCTGGCCAGGGGTCCGCGGTGGCTCCTGCCTGTTCCCACGTGGCCGACCTCTCCGGGGCTCTTCGTGTCGTCACTTCCTGGGGGCAGGGGCAGCAGAATGGCCCGCTCCACGCAGCCTGCTCTGGAACGAGCCTGGTCTGCAGTTGGGGTGTGTGGCCGACCCTGTGGTCCTGGGCTGGATCCCCGGGCCCTTCCTCAGCAGCAGCCAGGGGAACCTGCTAGAGCCGAGGCACCCCGGGGCCCGTCCTGCCCCGCTGGTCGCCTGGCTGCCTGGCTCCTGGGACCCTTGCCGGTCACCCCAGCCACCCCCGGAGGTCCCTGGGCCAGCAGCCTTGCCTCCACAGCTGCCAGACTGGCTCCAGCCTTGGCCCGGGGTGTCTGGGGGTTCCTGGGTCTTCAGACCCCTCCCCTCTTTGGAGTGACAGCCTGACCCCTTCTGCCATCCCTGTCAGGACCTTTTCTGGACAGGGACCCCGTCTGCCCCCAAAGGTATCTGGAGTCCAGCCGAAGAGTCCCCGAGGGAGAGGTACCCCTCCCCTTCTGTCCTTTGACCCTTTCTGACCCCCTAGTCTGGCGTCCGGGTATGTCGGGGTCCCCAGGTCATCCCCTGAGCATGGAAGTGCTTGCTGAGCGACCAGAGAAGACGCGTCTGGCCCCTGAGGGTTCTCTGGGAAACCCCCCTCCGGAGCCCCCCTGACCACCGCCAGGCCTGACCTCAGGGACCCCGGGCTGGGCCACCCAGAGTCTCCGGCCCCTCCCCGTGTCCCCTGCAGAGGGCGGCTGTGTAGCTCCCGTTGCCCCCACCCACGCTTGACGCTGCGGGCGCTGCCAGACGGGCTCTCGCAAGCTGTGTGGCAATCTGCTTCTCTGTGGGGACGCGGTGCCCGTCTGCCAACGGGGGGTGGCGCAGAGGGCCCCGTGTCCTCAGTCGCTCGGGGAGGCACCCCTGGCCTGGGACGCATTCAGGGTGGTGGCCACGCGCCGCCCCTAGGTCCACAGGGTGGGCCCCAAGGCCGTGTCGCACCCCACCTCCCTGTCACTAGTGGGGCATCGGGGGCTCCCGGTTTCACCGCCCGAGCCTCGCCCACTCACCCCAGCCGGGTGGGGCCGTGGCGCCTGACACCACGAGGGTGTCGGCATGGCCAGCCACCCACAGCCTAGGCAGGCCATGTGGCCAGGGGCTGCCTGGGCGGCGGCGGGGCTCGAGTTCCTGGCTTAACGCCACCGCCCGGCGCGTCGTTTGGCCGCAGGCCCCGTCTTGGCGCTGGCTTTGCAGCGAGAGGGAGGAGGGTCCGGTTACTGCCGGGCCCCTGGTGCCACCTGAGACCAAAGCCGCGCCTGCGTGAGTGGAGGCCCAGCGCGTCCTCCATGCGGCCTGGAGCAGCGG